AACCTTTGCTCATTCGTATTGGATCACCTTTATGAGAGTTATAGTGCCCCTACCACCCTCGTTACAGTCAGAAATTATGCCAAAATAGTTTCCATCTTAGTTGGAAAGTGCTAAAAATCTCATCCAAGGGTCTGTTTCAATTTGGTGTAAAGATCATGGACCATAAAATGAGTTTCTTGTCGTCATCAGAATGATGAAGTCAATATTTATTTGATTTCCCCTCCCAACTTTCTGTCCAATGTTGTGGAACCTTTTCTTACTGAGGAGCCAAAATAAGACCTCCAAAAACCTTTAGGTCTTTTTAGAAACAGTGCTGCCAGGTTAAAAATATTCCCCACTCTAGTCCCTGATAAGTGCCGCTAAGAACTGAACCTATTTGCGTGGCGATTTGAGTGATATTCCCTTGCAGGCCTCTGAGGTTTTCCCCAGATACATTGGTTTTTCCGAGATGTCTAACACTCCTGAATGAAATTTGTCAAACATTACAGTGTAGGACCCTCCTGAAAAGGGTATTGAGACTCTGGATTTCCTGCGTAAATGAAATGCAATACTTGTATTAACTCACCCATCTTTATCTTCGTAGAGATCTCGCAAGGTGCGACTGACCTCCATGTACCTCTGTAACACAAAACGTTCATGCCATCCATTGGATCATTTCAACAATCATGATAAAATACATAACCTTCAGATTCTTCAGAGAAAAGTAAAATGTGTTCTAGTCCATCAGCGTCATTGTCTTCCGCGATAATTTGTTTAAGCAGCAAACGCTGAAGAAGTTTTCACTTTCTGGGTCTCGTCAGCTGCTGGGTTGCCCGAAGTTATTGGAAAGAGCACTCCATCACAATCTGGCCCTGTATGTGAAACCTAATTATCCAATGTTGTGTTTTGTCAATACACTGCTGGATGAACGAGTTAGGACTGTGCTAAATGGAATGTGAAAGATGACTGCAAGGGAAGGTTTTCATCCAGCAGTGGAAAGGTCAAGGCTGATGACGATTACTTTTTATTTTATCAAGTAAATACCAACTGAGCTATACAGCTCTTTTCAGAAGCTACCTGGCCACAAATGATAGCGGAATTAAGTGGCTTATCATGCAGAAACTTTATTGCAGCCAAATACTCTAAGCGCATGTTTTTAAACGTGGAGGGAAAACCGGAGGACCCGGAGAAAAATCCACGCGACCACGGGGAGAAAGACACCGTCAACTCTAAATGTACAACAAGCATGAGGGTCGGGATCGAACCAAAGACCTACTTGTAGTAAACATCTCGCCACCATCTTCTTGGTTCTTTCGGTAAAGTCACGTAGAAGGAAAATAATAAAATAATAAAAATAAAACATAATAAAATAATTCTCACGACGTTTCGGCCACAACGCAAGCAGCCGTCTTCAGGTGGAGAACAGGTCTGTCGTGAGAATTATTTTATTATGTTTTATTTTTTATTATTTTCCTTCTACGTGACTTTACCGAAAGAACCAAGAAGATGAATCCCTGCAGTCACGAAAGCTTTAAATCGAAATCTCGCCACCAATATGACAAATATCGAATCAACTGACGTGAATGTTTAAGGCACGGTAACAACACTTACATCCAGCAGCACTCTCAGTCGGTGGTCGGAATTGATTTGCTCCCGTGTCTGAGGATACAGACACAGACACACACTCAAAAATCCACGACGCAGACTCATCAGGGGCAATCCTTACTTCTTTCGATATTGCCAAGCCAAAGGCACGGCCGAGGAGTCTTGCAGGCTGGAGGGAGGGACACAGACTCGCGGCCATGCAAGCAATGCAAAAACAATGTGAGCTGGATGGAAGGAATTACCAGCAAAACGTCGTACTCAAAAATTGTAAATGTTGTGGATTCACTCTTCAACACATCGGTGGGCTAAAGTGGTGAACTATTTGCCTTGTCAACGTGACACTTTTTTACTGATTGGCCGTGTAGGGTGGTGAAGGGTTACGACACATTTATAAACAACGCGATCTCACCGAAAAACGTTTATTATGAATAATATAATATTGGTTGCGAAAGCCTACACGTGTTAAACTAATGAGAGCGAATCAAGCGTCTGATTGGAACGTCTCAATAATACGCCGTGGGATGGTGGGGCACGTCTACACTTCACAACATTTGTGTGGATCACTCAACAAACTCCTTCCGACGGGCGTCGTGGTGTTATTATACCCTGGCTTGCCAGGAGAAGGCAGGTGTGGACTAATCTCCATCTGGCCCATCTGTACGGAACAGTGTGGTTGCCCTCCTGTGGCCATTCGTGGGCTTTCTCGGTGTCATCTGGTTTCCTCCCACACCGATAAGCTCTCATGAATTGGCTGAAAATATCTGAAGAGCTCAAGGACCCTAGAGCTTTGGGCGAATTTTGATGTCGCGTTATAATAAGTCGTTTAGTATTATAAAACTATTCAAAGACCATAAAAATAGGGGGAAAATATGCCACAATTGAGCAAAGAGGTGGGTGGGTTTAGGGTTGTTAAACGATGACCAGTAAACCGGGAATCGTTAGGGGAAAATGGCATTGTCAAGAAAAAACAGCGCACGAAATGTTGCTTTTTCAACTTAAGCGGGGTGGAGCGGTGGCGCAGTGGTTAGCGCACGGCGCGATGAACCTTGGAACCAGAGTTCCAAAATTCCGAGCCACAGCTTTACATCAGTCGCGAGTACTGTCCGAACCGGTTCCGTTTGAACCGTTCACCAAGGGAGAGAGGCGAGGAGGTGTGAAGTATGATCGATCAATCCCCCACGACAGCCACGGCGCAGAGGAAAGGGCCTTGCAATCGAGGGCAAGGCGGTCGATCGCGACAAAACGTCTCACCGACGCCTTCTTGAGCAGCTGCTCCTTCGCCATCGTCTCCATGAGGCGCTCTCGCTCCTCGTGGTAGCGCCGCTGCTGGTCCAGGATCGTGTCCATGGTGGCTCGTGGTGGTGGCGGTGGAGAAGGGCGAGCGTGGAAGGAAAACGACGAGGATGTGGCCGACTTGGTGAAGGGAGGGAAATGTTGGCGGGCAACAACGAACGGTGGCACGACAAGCCGAGGGGGAGATGTGGGGTCGGTCTGGCGGGCGCCAGACAACGAAGAGAGAGAGGGGGTCGCGAGGGGAGAGACGCGGGGAGACGTGGATGCTGCTAGGGAGAAGGCAGAGAGAGAGGAGAGGAAGAAACGCCGTGAGATTGGCTAGGCGACCACACGGCTGTAGGCCCTCACGTGGCGGTCGTGGTGGGTGATCGCCACGAACTATTCAAATCGCCAAACGCCCCGAGAGCAACGGCGCCTTCACGACATCGACGACGGCGAGTGGGAACGTTGCCCTCGGGGCGTTTAGTGAATGCGTTCGTGTCGTTCACAAAACCGCTGAGCCCGCCCTCCCCCCGCCCGCCGCATGCCCCTGGATGACGTCACCGAACTTGAGGGACCGCCGCCACATTGCGTAGGGATAATGATTATATACTAATATTTATTACGAAAAGCCGCTATATAAAATTGATTATTACTAATCATTAGTTATTATGAAAAGTCATTATTACTTATAATTGTTATTACTAAGAATTATTTGTAATAATAATTTATTTATATTATTTTTACTAATAATTAATTTATAATAATTTTTTATAATATTTTTTTTATAATAACTAATGATTAGTAATAGTTAATTTTATATAGCGGCGTTTCTGTCAAGGATCTCAAAGCGCTGTACAGGATACAGCAGACACACTCGGCATAACAATGTTTTTTTGCTTTTATTATTTCAAAAAACTTTTTAATTCCTTTTAATTTAATATTTTTATTTTATTTTTATTTTCTATCTACGTGACTTTACCGAAAGAACCAAGAATATGAATAATTTCCTAAATTAACAAATAGTTTAGTTTTACAAATCGCCAAATAAAAGTAAACTATTTTTTTCTCTTACCAGTTAAGGTCAACTTAGCTTCATTTGCTTGTATTTTTTCAAAATCGACCTGGCCACAAATTGAAACGCAAGATAAGATGCTGGCATTCGAAATGTCATTGCTGCAGAAGGATTACTGCTGCACATTAACTTGACCCAAACAGTGACCACCGTAGAATGTAAGAAATATTGGTCATAATCAACGTTTTTGGGTTAGATCGCATAAGTAGGAATGTGTCGTAACCCTCCACCACCCGACACGGCCAATTATTAATAAGGGATTTGTCACGACATTTACAATTTGAGGGAAATAATAAAATAATAAAAACAAAACAATAAAATGAAATGAAATTCTCACCATTTTATTATGTTTTATTTTTATTATTTTATTATTTCCCTTCTACGTGACTTTACCGAAAGAACCAAGAATATAGCATATGAATAGTTACCTATTGGTAGCTAACGAGTAACAGATACAACCTTTATGGAAACAAAAAGACGAAATAATCTCATTGGTTGAAAAATACAATTATAAAAGACTGATGGTACGTTACATTAAGATAACTCAGTGGAAATATAACTACCATCGACCACTCAATAAATTAGCACAAACCAGTCCCTATGAGAGGCCCTCTTAGGAAATACATGGGGACTTTATGAGACGATTATTTTTGTAAAAAAAAAAAAACTTTTTTTTATTATTCAATGAAAACCCCAAAACATTGTGTTACATTGCTTTTATGGCTTTATTTTGGTGATTTAGAAAAAAAAATTGGTTTGGCCATGTTTGCTTGTTGTAATACGGAGTTAGAATGATGACTTTAATCTAAGTTGTCTTATGGTTGTTGTTGTTGTTTGACTTGCATCCCACTGGGATTTTTGCACACAGCGTTTTTGTACGTTGCTTTTTTTCTGGAAGATTTTTTGCTGTTTTTTCCTGGATTTTTCTATTTGTCACTTTAAGATATTTTCTTGTTCATGTTTTAGTTTTTTGTTTGTTGCGGTTGCACCCGATTCAAGAGCCGAATGGCTCACAGGGCAATACCAAATAAATAAAACTAAATGTGAAATCAACTCTCCTTACCCAACATGGCTACGCTGGCTTCCGAGTGGGGGAGTCTTGTGTGCGGGTCGCGGCTGCTGGTTGTGGTTGGTTGGTGGTGGAGGTGGTAAGCAAGAAGCCTGTTTCGGTGAAAATATTTCAAATAAATGTTGCCACAATTAAAGTGATTCTTGTCCCCCCCTCCCCAAGCGTTCGCGTGCGGATAATGGCGCTCGAGTCTCGGCTGGCGCTGGACACGGCTCAGCAGGAGCCGGATAAACACATTGACAGAGAAAAGGTGAGAGCCCTACACACACACACACGTGTTGTGTGTAGTGTGTGTGTACCACGGGTCGACTCGCACACACACATACACGTGTAGTGTGTGTGTACCACGGGTCAACTCACACGCACTACACGTGTAGTGCGTGTGAGTTGACCCCTAGTACCTGGGTCTGCCCGTGACCTCCTGCCAGCGGGCGTTCGACACTTCACGTGGCCTCAAGGTGCACCTAGCCTGGCACAAGCGCCGTGGTGACGTCACCGCCACTTAAGTGGCGAATGGCGGTTCTTGTTGAACCTGGCGACCCGAGTTCGGCAACACCGGTGACGATTATCTAAACCGGTGCTGGGCCGCCCCTAGGTCGACTCAGCCTCAAATTAGCACCTGGTGCGGTGTGTAAACATCGCCACTGGGGAGACAAAGGCGGCCTGGCGTGGTGTTGACCACCCACCCCGTCGTGTGCCGTGCCGGCCTTCATAGGTGCTCGCTAACAGCACTTGCCCCTAGCAGTCTGTGAAGGCTATACGGGGGACCTTTGTCGTTGCCTTCTGTGTGTGGAGCGGTGGCGCACCGGTTAGCACATTGCGCTCCGAATCCGGGGCGCACCCGAGTTCGATTCCCGCTCACGAATATCTGAACCGGTCCCGAGTCTCCCCTAGGTCGACTCGACCTTAAAATTAGCACTTGGTGCGGTGTCATCAGCATCGGGGAGACAAAGGCGGCCGGGCGTGGTGCTTGCAACCCAGTCTCGTGTACGGGGCCGTCCATAAATGACGTCACGCACCTAGGGGGGAGGGGGGGTCAGGCATTTGTGACGATGTGTGACGAGGGGGGGGGGGGTGAGAAATGTGACGTCACATCAAAATGCGCAACTTTAAATGAATATGGACAACACGTTCTACTTAATTAAATAGACTTTTTAATAAATGTTTTCTCCTACAACATCAGAGTGCAGCGCCACATTCAATACGCACTACAATGACAATAGTTTAAAACGATTTGAAACATTTTTTTATGGGGGGGGGGGGGGTCAGAGCTTTGTGACGTCATATTTGAGGGGGGTCAGACTTTTTGTGACGCCGTGTTACGAGGGGGGTGGGGTGTAAAAAATTGTCCAAAATCGCGTGACGTCATTTATGGACAGCCCCTACCGTGCGGGCCTTCATCATGTTCCTACCAGTAGCAACTTTCTCCAGCAGCCTCTTTTAAGACTTCACATGGGAATATTTTGCGTGTGTGTGTGTGAGACCAGATTTATTATAACGCAATTGGCGTTTGTGAATGCAAAACAGCGCCCCGGTTTGAAATGAACAATGAAGTATTCGACTTACTCCGCCACGGGTATCGTGGGACCAGGCATAGAGGAGAATGCAAAAGGAAAACTGTCAAGGACTGAGTCGTGCTCTTAGGTTTTTTCGGTAAAGTCACGTAGGTAAGAAATTAAAATTAATAAAAGTAAAATAAAAAATAAAATCGAAATCCAAAAATCGTGCATGATTGGATGGCTGACCAGCATGCATACCAGGTTCTATAGGCTACCCCGGAGGTCACGTTGTGGGCTGTGCAGCCATAACCTTTCTCCCCAACGCTTACGCTCCCACACATCTACGCGCGCACGCATGCTGAACTTCTTTTGCACCGTACGTAGCCAACCGTGCCCATCTATGGCCGCCGCCTTCACTCACCCGCAGTGACCAGCCGTGGTGAAGTATGGGTCAGGTAACCCCATGGCGTGCGGCAAGCCCTCATCCAGCAGTGGACAAATACAGCGTTGTATAATAGGCGGGCGAGGTCAACATTCGTTGTCACATGGATAGACTTACCCCTGTCACCGGAATGTGGACTTTACACGGCTGGCTGAGGGCTGTAAACGGGAGATGAGCAAGCAAATGCCGCAATGCTCACTTGAGCAGGGCATCGCTTTCGTTTGCCGACACTCAATAATGCCGATCGCTTTCACAAACATCTCAACGTGTTTGTATTTCATGAATGAAGTCCAGATTTGTCGCTCTTGACGTTGCACCACCCCCCCCCCCCCCCCCCCGGTCAGACGTGCCCGCTTCTGCTGCGCGTGTTCACGAGTAAAACCGGGCGTCACCACCGCACGGACGAGTTCGCCCGTGGCAGCGCTCCCACCTCCGAGCTTCAGATTTACACGTGGTGAGCGAACGCCCGTCCGCCAGCAAACACTCACAACCGCTCGCCGGGAAACGCTCGCTCGCTCGCTCGCTCGCTCGCGTCTCGCCGGTAGTTTAAAGAACACACAATGGTGTGCTCACAAACAACAGCAGCACCGGGAAGGCCCAACTCCCATCGTAAAAGGAATTTACACAAGTAGTCGGGCACACAGATCATGTACATGTACGCATGCTAAGACAAATATGCCTCGGAAAGCCTTAAACAGACTGTTGGGTCAAGGGCTGTTAGCGAGCACCTCTGAAGCCTGGAACGGCACACGAGGAGGTGGGTGGCCAACACCACGCCTGGCTGATGTTTACACACTGCACCAGGTACTCGTTTGAAACTGAGTCGACCTAGGAGAGGCCCAGGACTGGTTCAGATATCCATAACCGCTGTTGACTGAGAACGGGAATCGAACTCTGGTCGCCGGGTTCATAGCACAGCTCGATAACCACTGCTCCTTTACCAATGCAACCACTTTCACACAAACTTAATTTGGAGCTTTCATGATTGCAGGAATTACTCTTTGGTTCTTTCGGTAAAGTCACGTATAAAGAGAAAATAATAAATTAAATACTAGCATACGACGTTTCGATTGCAACACAAGCAATCATCATCAGGTATAAATGAAATAGAAACACAAATCTAGTATACTTAGAAATGTAATGTAATACAACAGAGAGTCGGATAACATAACAGTCAACACCCTACCTAGTTGATTACGTTCTTCCTGAGAATGCTAAATTTAGAGGCCCAGAACTGATTCAGATATTCTAAATTTAGCATTCTCAGGAAGAACGTAATCAACCAGGTAGGGTGTTGACTGTTATGTTATCCGACTCTCTGTTGTATTACATTACATTTCTAAGTATACTGAGATTTGTGTTTCTATTTCACTTTCACACACACGTCCATCCACCAAGCCACTCACCCATGCCCACCACATGCCGCGCGTGTGTGTGTGTGCGCGTGTGTGTGTGCATGTGTGCGTGTGTGCGCGTGTGTGTGTGTGTGCGCGTGCGCGCAGGTTGGATGCCACACTGAAGGAGCTGACCAGCCTGGTGAAGGAGGTGAACCCAGAGGCGCGCAGGAAGGGAACTCACTTTAGCTTTGCCATTGTCTACCCAGACCCCAAGCGGCCCGTGTACAGGTGACCAACCCAGCTCTTTGCCGTCGATTGTGACGAGCGCGGGGGGGATGTCCTCTATCGCAAAGCGTTCGGTCGCCCAAAGGGACCGTGAGGTGGCCAGGTAGCTCAGAGCCTGTGACTAAACTGAGTTGTCAGCGCTATTAAGTTGATAGTCTCAGCCCAGCCATCAATGACTACACACACAAAAATTAACCCGTAAAAACAAAGTTTTTCACTATAAATCCTTTATATGCGTGTTCAATGGGCCACAACCCAGCCCACATTGGTCTTTGAAACGGGCGGCTAGAGTCCTCTCGTCCTCTGGCTTGCGATGGCTGCCACCTATGGGTCAGATGATTGCCTGCCACCATTAAGCAATTGGTAATTAAATATAAAAACAAATTTCCTAAAAAGTGTAAAATTTCGGGAAAAAAATTTCACGAAAATAAATTGTCACGCACAACGAGTCTGTGTGCAAAATGTCAGCTCGATTGGATCACGGGAAGTGGGTTAAAAAACGACCGAAAGATTTGCACGGTCGTAAGCGCGCAAGCAAGCAAGCAAGTGAACTTAATATAAAGGATTTAAAAAAAAACCATCACGTTCAATTTGGTTTTGCGCTAAAATTGGATGAATCCCAGCTGCGAGTGGGAAAGTGCTGCACCCCTACTGTCTCGACCGAAGGCCACTTGAAGGAAACTCGAGAAGTAGTTCTGCAATATCAACTTCTACTGGCCGTTCCGTAACCCCAAAAAGGGTTTGCGACAGATCCAAATGGATCCTTCCGCTTCATGGCACGATGGAGGTGGCACGGTCGGGATAAAAACTGGTGAAAGAGACAAAAAAGCATGGGCCCATGAATCTAGCACTGTGCCTCTCTTCATCAGCCTATGTCTCGAACACAGAGAGGTGGCCGGGTAGTCCAGTAATGAGTGACCTCGTCAGCAGGCTGATCGATAGTCACGATTTTTGGCTCGCAGCTCGATTCAAGAATAAAAATATATATATATACATATGGTGGTCTCATCCTTACCGTCTCTTTTGTATTATTTCTGGTATCTTACGTCAAATTTGTACAATTGCGTTCCTTCTGTTTGGCTTAAGTCTAACGTTAGCGTATTGGTTATGTATAATAATTAAGTAATCCCAAGTAATTTATCAAAACGCTCGTGAATTGGTGAATGAGTCATTTTTGTGAATGGGTGCAAAATATTATCCGTCAAACAGCCGCTCACAATGTCAGCACAAATAGGCGGGAGCATCTCTCTCTATCCCGACTGCTATATCAACAATCCGCATTTGGGTTTTCCATAAAACAGTGTTAGAGAACGCCCCGCAGAAGCAGATGTCACAGAGCTACCTCTGAGATCCCTTCGAATGGTTGCGAGCAGCACATCGCTGTCCGATCTTGTACCTTCCACTTACTACCGCCCCCTTTCCCTCGCCACCACCACCTCCCCCTGTCGCTCACAGGGTACGGGAGATCGGCAGCACGATCGCCGGCCGCAAGGGTGCGGACGACATCATGACGCTGCAGTCGCAGAAGTTTCAGATCGGCGACTTTCTGGACATTGCCATCACGCTCGCGGGACGTGGGCCTCCCCTGCCCAGCCGCATGCTGCGTCCGTATTAGAGCTTCTTCTCGCGGTGTAACTTCACCGCTGGGGGCTCGGCGTGAATCAAAATGTTAATTTTATTTTTTATTACTGTCAACTCTCCGTTGCTGGTGACGCGGCCGAGTGGCGGCGCGTCTTGCCGCTCGTCGCAGAGATATGCGGTTCAAGGCCAGCGGCCGCCCTGGTTAATACCGCGCGGGTGTCTTGACGGTGTGCGCCGTCCGCTTGGCAGTTGACGGTAAAAATATGGTGACGGTATTCGAAAACGAGTAGGCCGTGCGTGTGTGTCGGCGTCACGGTCCAAAAATGTGACAAGTTGCCGACAGTTCGCTTGAGTAAAACCGGGCAGCCACCATTGCGCTGGTCTTGACTAAGGCCCTTGTGCTGTAGGAATGGAGTGAACGCCGAATGTTCCCGTGATTTATCCGTGGTAGCGCAAGTGGGGGAGTGTCCCTGAAAGAACAAATACGCGGACATTGCGAACCAATACGGAACAATGAGAACTGGATTGGATGCGTTCTGCGAGGAAGGCACGGTTTGATGACGAAGGACGTTACAGAAGGCCCAACGGAAGAGTTGTGGGATGCTGTTCGCGTGAATGACGCGAAATGCAATGAAAGTATTATTCTTAAGAGGACAGAGCGAGAGGAAGGCCCAGGATCGGAATATCGGAGGTGCTGAAGAGGAGGAGGGGGGGGGCCACGTTTGTGTAAACGACGAGAAAGGCAGCGGACGGAGGACGATGGAGGAGATGGCAGCCGAGGAGCCCGTTAAGGCAGAGCGCCACAGCAGAACGTGGATCGGTGGTGACGATGACTTGTGTCTGCTGATTCCGGCTGCAGACAAAGTCAGCGATTGCGGGAGCCGCAAGTGGACATCTGGCCAGAGTTTTGCAAACCGGAGCACACGCTCAAGGCGCGAGTGTAGTATTCTCCGCGAGCACGGAGGGTGATGTTTGCCGTTGGTTTGCTCTTTGGCAAGCGCGTAATTAATTCGCGCGTGAATTCTTTCGAATTTGGCACGGGGGGCGCGCTTGCCCTTTTGAGAATAACGTCACGGGACCTTTAACGCCCTCTGTGACGCAGGCAGTACACGCTGGGTGCACACACACCCTTCGTATACGTGCGTCTGCAGCGACACCCGGCAGGGGTGTGACGATTCGCCCCGCCGTGCGATGCAATGCACGCTTGTAGAATCTTAAGGGGTGTGCGAATCTATAAATTATACAATGGTGTGATTTAATTCTAGATTTGAAGTTTTCGTGACTGCAAGGATCCTCCCAGCCCCTCCCCACCCAGCCCCACCCAGCCCCTCCCTCCCCACCTAGCCCCTCCCTGCACGACGGACGGACGGATACAATAATCCCCTGTGGGCTGGTGTAAACAGGAGGTTCCTACCAGTATTAGAGTTCATACATTGGTTATGTTAAGGTGCGGGTAGCTTTTTTTAAGTGAGTACTATACCGGGTTTTGGAGTGGTTGTGCAGCGGTGAGCGCACTGCACTTTGAACCTGACCGACGACCTGAATTTCATCGCCGGCCCAAGTGGTGAAGTATGGTCAAACAATCTTCATGACCTACCATGCTTTGGGGGGAGGGGGGGTCAGTGGCTTTCATCCAACAAATTTACAGGACTGTAAATAATTGTTATTACGAAGGCTTTAATTACACGTTTCATTATTATCGTTTGTACGAATTCAGCACCGGTGGATCATGTAAATATTTTACTGTTAGTGGAAACGCGCAAATGTGTTTTTTTTTGTAAGTGTTGGTAGATTCTTGATTGTCATTGTGTCAAATTTTAGTTTTAATGACGGAACAGTCGCCTTTCGCTGGGTCAGCGTTCCGGCTACACGGCGCGCCTGGATGCACCTGGGTCAGCGGGCTTCGTGAACCATAAACCACGTGTCCCTTGTTCTCTTGACGTCAGTCTTCGACTAATAAAGCAATGCACAAGAGGCGTTATGCACGGAGCGCAAGGCGACAGCTGTGAAACTTATTGCCGACAGTGGAAACGATTGCATGCTGAAGTAGCATTACGTGAAGCGAGTTCTAGTGCTGCTAGTTAATAAAAATAATTTTTCTTTCAATAAAACACAACGGGCGTCTCCTTGGTACAATGTAAGCAAAAACATCCTAAACAGCGACGAACTCGAAGGTCTGATGGGCGTATTTCGGGGTTTGAAATCAGCGTGTCGTTTGGCACGATGTCCGACGTTTCGCGCCACGTGCTAGGTGAGCGTGGTACAGCCCGGAAGTACACCGCGCAGAGCTGTGTAGCCACCGGACCGCGACAAGCGACGCGGTAGCAGTGAGCTCGTCCGCTTTTTGGAACGGTTTTTGACTTAATTGAGTATCTTCGGCAAAAAGCGAAAGCAGCTGAATTAAAACGCCACAGTGTAGCGCTGATGCTGCGCGATGGATAAACTGCCGAGAAATATAAGGATATAAAAAATATATATTTTAAGGTGCAGCTATGTATAGCACTACTGAAAAAAAACCTCTAATTCCCATATTTTATTTGTATATGATGTTACATTTTGACAGTTTGGCACAGGTGGCTTCATTTATGCTGTTGTAAATGCACGTTGCTCCAAGGTTTAATAAATTGGTTTTACAGGATGTGTATGTGGCAGATGATTCACTAATTGCAGAAGTAAATGTCAATGTGTACGTTGTGTGACAGGTCAGCCACCGTTATAGCGCACGTGGCCACCGTTGATTTCCGTAGGCTCTCAGAAACTGATGTTAATGTTAGCGTTTTGCACGCGGAATATTAAGGACAGGGGAAAATCTATGATTACAGCTGTTACCGTGGAATTCTTACATATTGCGACGGTAATTATAACGTCACGCATTTATCCAGGAAACGCCTCGTTGAGTCTCAAGACAATTTTTCCTGCATGAAGGATGGCAAGATGACCCGTGTGTATGTATGTTGGACTTCTTTCCCACCGTGCGTAGCCAACCGTGCTGTCTCTTGTGATTTGCGTTTTCTTTATACGATATCGGTGTAGCTGTTCCATCCTCACGAGTTTACTCATTTCTATATATGATTGAAGATAAGGCCTTCTTGAGAGCTTAGAATGACTGCATCAATATTTCTACTGAATCTTTTTTTTGTATATAGTCAATACAAGCCAGGCATCATGGTATCTGATGTTCATTCGTCTTTTGTAGAATCGGAGGAAGCACAACAAACTAATCACAAATGAACTGAGTTTCCAAACTAGATGATTTAAAAGTGGTGTAACTCCCAGTGCCTTCCTAACATCGGAAGGAAGGGCGTTCCAGACGGCCGCAAAAGCGCATCCGAAAGCGCGCGATGCAGTGGCCCATCTTTGTTTCGATGGCCAGCCAAAAAGCTGCTGCTGCGAGCAAGACCTATCCGTAGCGAGCTGCACCTCGCTGTCGCTGAGGCTCGCCGTTCGAACCCAGCGGTTATAGCCGCCGGGGCCGTAACGACCGCAGCCGGACACGCGCCGTCCGCTCCGCTGCTCGCGTCGGGCCCGTTCGAGGTGGCCGCGACGTCGTTGGCAAGGCCAGGCCATCGTGTGCCAGCGGCGTCGGGGGCCCAACATTTTTGGCAAGTTTTGGAAAATTACCAGGGAATTTGCGCTGTAATAGGATTCCGCGCACGGCAGCGATCGTCTCCCCTGCTGCTGCCAGAATCGTGCACCGCAGGTCACGCTTGCAAATGAGACTCGAAACTAGACTATGAAACAATTTTTTGTTATTTTACCAGGTGAGGCCCACTTTGAGTTATACGGTAGAGTTATTTATATTCTTAGGTTTTTTTTGGTAAAGTCACGTAGGTAAAAAATTACAATTAATAAAAGTAAAATAAAAATGAAAAAATAAAATAAAAATGACGACATTTCGGAGGCAACACAAGCTTCCGTCTTCAGGTGGGACCGTCACAGCACGGAAGCTTGTGTTGCCTCCGAAACGTCGTGATTTTTATTATTATTTTTATTTATTTTTTATTTTTATTAGTTTACATTTTTTACCTACGTGACTTTACCGAAAAAACCTAAGAATATTAATTCCTTGCAGTCACGAAAGCTTCAAAGGTAGAGTTATTCTTTTTTAGAAGCGGTCTGGCCACGAATGATAGCCAAATGAAGTGGCTTATGTGGACATGTATAAGACTCGTCCTCGTTTTGTTTTTATAATTATGTTCATTGCAGTTTCATGTTAATAAATACACAGGGGTTGACGAAACAAAGTATTTGTTGTTCTTACGTGCCCCGTGCTAACTTTCCGTTTCCATGATTTATCTCCTAAAAAAATCTGGCCATGTCTCGCACCCCCAGGAAGGTCATCTCGCACCGCCAGTGGATGTGTGCACCCACCAGGTTAAGGACCACTGGTATCAAGGGTTAATATGCTAACCAAGGCCCATCCTGGTTTCTGAAGTTCTCCCCGGGTTAAACAACATCAAATTACAACGTCAATTCCCTGGCGTCCGCGCATTTCTCTCCCACGTTTCTTCCGAGCACGCATCTCGCCGTGCCCTCTTTGCGCACTTTGCATCTTTCTGTTCCATCTTTCCTGTTGCCAGTGTCCGTGCCTCTGATCCACACGTCCCCAATTGATTCAAGCGAGCCTGACACTGCTGGTGAGCCACTGGATATCGAAACCGGTGCAGAGTGTTGCTTGTCCAGAATCAATGCTGCATTGAAAGGGCGTGAGGCTGATGGGATGTGTTATTTTTACGTGGAGAGACAGCGTTGTGAAGGAGACATAGTGTCCCCTCATCTCCTGTGTCCACTCACAGGTTGGTGAGAGCGTAGTGATTCTGGATCACCAAGGGACCGGCTCCATGCTCTCCCGTTCCAGGGGGTGACCATCTCCCCACCTGTGCAACACCTCCCCCCGTGACCTCAGCTCTTCTTTTGTCAACAAACTCCAGTGGAGGAGAGTCTTGCCATCTCACCCCGCCGTGAACGTTGGGTGAGCTCTGACCTTCCATTCGCGGAGCCCTGATATCCCTTTCCACGATTGGCCACATGGCCTCGGCCCATTTATCAACAAACTCCAGTGGCGGACAGTCTTCCCAACTCACCCCGCCGTGAACTTTGGGCGAGCTCTGGTCTTCCCATCGCGGAGCCCTGACCGTCTTTTCCACGATAGGCCCCATGGCCTCGGCCCGTTTGTCAACGAACTCAAGCGGAGGAGGTGCCACCCAACTCGTGCCCGTGTGGACCTCGGGAGTCCCGGTCCCCGCGGGCTCCACTCCGCGCGGCGGCCCGTCCCGGCCGCGCGGGCGAAGGTGGCGCGGTGGCCCGGCGCGTCGCTGCTTCTCGGGGCACGACAGGGCCATCATTACGCCGGCGGCCATGGTGAGGGTGGCGGCGGCGTAGCCCAGGTAGATGGCGGCGCCGAGTTCGTACTTGACGGGACTCGGGTACCACGGGTCGTAGAACTGGCGCACGGTTGTGTGGGTGTTCCACGCGACAGGCACGAACGTGCAGAGAGAGGAGGCGACGAGGCAGAGGCCGCCCGACACGGCCACGAGCGACTTGCTGCGGCGGGAGGGAGGGCCCAGCACCAGGGTGCACTTCATGCCCGCCGTGGACGCGCCGATGCCCGCCGCCGTGAGCAAGCACGAGATGACCATCATGGCCTGCGCGGCCTGGCACGTGGCGGAACGACGCACGCATCGGACGGAGATGGTGGAGAGATGGGGTTTGGGGGGGGGGAGAATCAGAATCAGAAGTTTATTTCCCGTAAAGGCCATTGAGCAGTGGCGTAGTAACTACATTAGCATTGGCGTAGTAACAATAGCAGCAATTACATTACACTGTGTAACACATTTGTTTTGTTCCTGGGTAGTAAGTGTTATTTCATAATTGTTTATGCCTCAAAAGTGCAGAAAATGGCTATTATCCCCCAAAAACTTTGCTTTTGTGACCAGGACAGTGATATTTAGAAATTTACCTATTTTCCAGCACATTCCAGATAGATTTAGAGCTGAGTAAACTTGGAATAACTTCTAGAACATTCTAGAACTTTCCAGTAATATAAATAGTATAAATACGGAGGCCTCAAGCCAACCAGTTCAGTTTAGCTCCAGCTGCCTAAGTGGATACATATCTGCATTTTTCTGAGATGGCATCAAGAGGCTGCAAGCATCTGGCAGACGCATTTTGCGATGTCTGCGGCCAATTTATCAAGACAAGAGCGAAAAAGGACTCTGTGGAAGCATCTGCTAAGATGTGCGAGGCCTACAAGGCGTATTTCGGCATGCCTGTCAGGGATCAAGACAAACCCTGGGCATCTCATTTCACCTGCGAGCAATGCAAAGAAAACTCCGGAAGGTAAGATGGACAATTGTTGCCCGGAATTTTCTGTTCTAAAGTTTGTTACAAAATATAAAATTGTAAAAGTTTTAAATTTAAAAATGTTTTACAGTTTTCAATGTTATTGAAAAAATATATCATACATGAAAAATGTTACTAGAATCTCTTACCCATTGGTCATGAGTGAAATCAATGTATTTTTGTAGGATGTTACAGACGGGAAAAGAGAGACATGAAGTTCGCTATCCCAAGAATTTGGTGGGAACCCACTGACCACTCAAGCAACTGCCACTTCTGCATGGTGGACCCTTCCAAACGTCGGACTGGCAAGAATGCACCTGCTATCACGTATCCGGACCTTCCTTCATCCATCGCCCCGGTGCCACACTGCCATGAGCTCCCCGTACCCACTCCTCCAAAAAGAAAGCAGCTAATCCAGGAGCCTCAAAGCCGTGCTGCACCATAATGGTAACAAGTACTCGTCTATTGCCCTGGCTCACTCGGTGCACCTCAAAGAGGATTACAACAGTATCAAGACCTTGCTGGACGCCTTGAAGTATGACGAGTACGGCTGGGAGTTCATCGGAGACTTCAAAATGGTGGCATTCCTGATGGGTCTCCAAGGCGGTTTTAACAAGTTTCCCTGCTATCTTTGCCTTCGGGACGCAGTCAGAAGCAACGCACAAGAGACTCATGATTATCATCTGCCGCTGCATCGAGACGATTGTGCCAAGGATGATGAAGGCGACTGAGATGTCGATAGTGTTGCTGCCGCTGCTGCCACAACTCACCTTGAGAGACGGGCTCATTGCGAGGATGGAGTAGAAGGGGCGGCACTGGAAGAATCCCGTGCTCATCCAGGTGCACTCCATCCACAGGCCCCGCATCTGCCCCGTGGCCGTGATGATGCTGGTGCCCACGTGAGCCGTCACCTGCCAGTGTGGGAGGATGGTGGCAGCCAGCGTGCCCAGCAGACCCACGATGGCCAGGCACAGGGCCACGATCTGGAGTCCTGTAGACACCATGATGACTACGACGGCGGTGGCGGCGGTGGTGGTGGAGCTTCGTCTTCTTTATTGCGCTGGTGTTAGTGGAGTCGCTGCTTCTCACGATGGTGGCAGTGTTGGAGGAGGAGTTTCCACCGCTGATAATCCAGAGAATACGGCAATGTTATTCGTAAGATTATTTCAGTTGTCGTAAGAACAACTTGGTGAAAGGCACACACACATCTCGTCCGATAGACCGTTTCTAATCCGTACGATCACTCTTCACGAGAAGTCACAGAGAGAGCGGCCACAGCCAACCGGCCCGGCATGCCAACTACAGGCTCCTCCACTCTCCATCCCAAAAAACACTCGCCCTGAGCCTCTGCCTATAGGAAGCCGGTGGCGATCTCGAGTTTGCCCCCACGTTTCGCATCAACGACAACAACAACCAAAAATCACGACGATTGTTGCCCAGTTATGCTGAGACTTTGATACCGAGACTCAAATTTGGATTGGACCGCACACGGCAGCCGGATTAAACATTAACCCAGGGGACCTGTGGCAGATGCGTGCCACGACCCCCCCCCCCCCCCTGTGTGGGTGGTGGCGGTGACGATTAGCAGAACCGGGTCCTGGGCATCTCCTCGGTCGACTCAGCCTCAAATGAGTACCTCGCGCGGTGTGTAAACATCGCCACTGGGGAGACAAAGGCGGTCGGGCGTGGTGCTGGCCACCCACCCACCGTCGTGTGCCGTGTGTGGTCTACATAGGTGCTCGCTAACAGCACTTGCCCCAACAGCCTGTCACAGGCTACACGGGGGATCTTTGTCTTTGGTGGCACCACGTGGTTAGCGCTCTACCGAGTTCGATTCCCGCTCACGACCAAGCAACTGTGGGCGGGTCGGAGGACAGATGGCAGCAAGTTGTTGCGAGACTGCCTGCCCAGTGAGGTGTTGAGTTGGTGGCGCACAGTCGGCTCGCCTGGAGAAGGCGGCACAGCAAAGTGTGAGCTGACATCGAGGGGGCATAATCAACGTTTTTGGGTTTAGATCGCGTTATTTATAAATGTGTCGTAACCCTCCACCACCCGACACGGCCAATCAGAAAAAAAGTGTCTTGTTGACAAAAGACAAATATCTTCTTGGTTCTTTCGGTAAAGTCACGGAGAAGGGAAGTAATAAAATAATAAAAATAAAACATAATAAAATTATTCTCACTACGACAAATAGTTCACTGATTTAGCCCACTAGTGTGTTGAAGCGTGAAACCAGAGGTGAGTGGTGGGGTGAGTGGTGAGTGGTGAGGTGAGTGGTGAGGTGAGTGAGTGGTGAGTGAGTGGTGAGGTGAGTGGTGAGTGGTGGGGTGAGTCAGTTTACATAGACTTTCGCGACCAATATTATTCATAATCAACGTTTTAGGGTTAGATCGCGTTATTTATAAATGTGTCGTAACCTTCCACCACCCGACACGGCCAATCAGTAAAAAAGTGTCACGTTGACAAAAGACAAATAGTTCACTGCTTTAGCCCACCGGTGTGTTGAAGCGTGAAACCACAACATTTACAATTTTTTGAGTACGAAGTTCGCTGGTAATTGCATCCAGCATCATCGGGCAATTCGCCAGAATGGTGAGGCTCTGCTCTGTCTCCCGTTCTTATATAGAGCAGCAGCAGGGTGACGTCATCATTAACTCATCAAGTTTAAAGTTTCATTTATTAGGTATAGCCCTGTGAGCCATTCGGCTCTTGAATCGGGTGCAACCGCAACAAACAAAAAAAACAAAAACATGAACAAGAAAACATCTTAAAGTGACTATGTGCAAACAGAAAATCCAAGAAAAGACAGCAAAATATAGCAGAAAAAGCACCGTACACCAATACTGTGTGCAAAAATTCCAGTGGGATACAAGTCAAACAACAACAACCACAAGACAACTTAGATTAAAGCCATCAGTATAACTCTGTACTACAACAAACAAACATGGCCAAACCGAAAAACTTTTCAAAAATCACCAAAATAAATCAAAGAGCCGCCTGCGGCTTCGCAGCCAGAGATTCCCGACCCGGGTCTATCATAATCCACATGGCGTCACGCTCAGTCTCCAACCCTCCATAACTCTGCCTGGCCTCTCTCTATGCATGTGCTGTGAAGAAGGGCAATTGCCCGAAACGTCTCCTCTTGTATATTTTAAGGCCACAGCGTTATTACTGACGAATGTTACGAGGTTCATTTTAGATTTGAAGCTTTCGTCACTGCAAGGATCCATAATCTTTAGTTTTTTCGGTAAAGTCACGGAGGTTAAAAAGAAAAAATAAGATTTTATTTATTTTTTACCTACGTGACTTTACCGAAAAACCAAAGAGTATGTGATGAGGTTACTTTGTAAATGTACTTTACGCAAGCACTGCCAATGCAGCGACAGCAGCAGCATCACTATATAAAGTTGTCTTTGTGTGTTAAATTCATGGGACACGACATTACAACTCTCTCACTCACTCACTGCGAGTCGATGTGGGCCCATTACAACATTTAATAACGGGAGCGATAACAAGAAATGTCTCCACCGAGCCCACTCGAAGGGCAGCGAGAGGGCATGGAAAATATGAAACATTAAATTGCTACCCCCACTCATCAAGTTAATGAACAACATTCCATCAGTGCACAAGCTCTGGGAATAAAGAGCGAGTTTAGCCCCCGTTCCTTGCGTACGGCTACGAGTGGGCGTATCTCATGAGGTCACCTCGCACACTCGCAGATGTCCAGGGCTTGTGCAGGACACGCGGCTTAGGTAGGGATGATGGGTTAGTGAGTTGAACGCGTCGGAGGATGCTTTGCCGACGAATGTTATCCATAATAGAGAGGGTTTTTTTTGCTTGTATGGGGCTAGATCGTGGCGAAACGTCGTACTCGAATTGTAAATGTTGTGGATTTACTCTCCAACACACCGGCTAGTGCTGTACTAGTAACGAATTGGCCACGTTCTGTTTACGTGACAACCCTTACTAGTTGGCTGTGTCGGGTGGTGGCGGGTTTAACGACACATTTATATTTTTACGCGATCTAAAGCCCAAAAACAAATATATTAGTGATGATAATGATGGGGGTGATGATGATGATGTGCGGTGGGCGAAGACGCACCGACTGAATGACGACCAGAAGGAGGAGGCAGCCGGCCAGAGAGGGACGAACCACCTGGAGGAGATGGAGCGATGAGACCACCCTGGGCGTGCACCAACTCGGCTGCGTTGTTGCACTGTGGCACCGCGATGGGGATGGCGACAGCGTGGCCTTCATCCAGCAGTGGATCGATCGTGGCTGCTGCTGATGGTGACGGTGGTGATGGTGGCACGTGTTTGTTCTAACGGTCGTTTGGTCTTCCTCTGCTCAAAACCGCAGTGGCCGACGACGTTCCTCATTCAATCGGACTCGTCAACTTCACCTCGTCATAGTCACTGCGCTCGACGATTTCCGTCCACTCGCAGTGAAAATCACCTCGTTTTTTTTTCAAACTCCAAAATTGATGCGAACACCTCCACGTCACGCTTCAAGCCCCCATCAACATCGGCGACTCCCGGATCCACTCGAGTCGAGAGGCTGCACTGGTGATGGAGAAGTTGGCACCGGCGCCGGCTACGGGATCCACGTTCCTCCTCCTCATCACCCTCCTCCTACTCCTCCTCGACCTCACGGAGGAGGCGTCTCTGTCGAACGCCACGGGGACTCTTCTGCCCTCGCCTCGCACCCCAAACGCCACTCACCACGAACCTGCCGCGGGCACTCAGGACCCGGAGTCAAACCACGACCACCACCACCTCCAGTTGCAACAGCAGCAGCAACAGCAGCTGGCGTCGGCCGAGGCAGCTGGCTCGGCCCTCTATCTCCTCGTCCTCTGTGGCTTCTTCGGGTTCCTTCTCTTCGCGGCCACCTTCGACCACGTTCAGAGCAGGCAGGCCGAGCGCTGGGCCAAGGACGCCTACAGACGGGCGGCCACGTCTCGGGCTCCCCCAGATCGCCAGGTTCTGCCGCGCGCCCCGGATGACCCCGCGAACCCCTGCTGCTTGATCCGGAGCAACCCCGCCGCGCTGATGGCCTTGGCGGATGCCTCGAATGCAGTCGCCGCACGCTCCCGTGGCGGCGGAGGTGGTGGGGACGGCGCAAGTGGAGATGGAACGGTCCAAGTGCCCCCCCAGGATGATGGAGGGGAACTCGGTGCTGCATTCCCAGTTTTTTAAGGCGGAAGGGCAAGGGGGTGGGTGGGTTTGGACCCCAAGCAGGGCTTAATTTCTCACGCGATATATTCCGGAATTTGTTGTTAAGCTAGCTTGGAGTAAAGGGAGTATCGGCGTAAGGCACTACCACTAGAATACAAGGTACGCCTATCCCATGCTAATAATATATTATTGTCCCTGTTAAATTAGTCAATCTTAAGCAAGTGTTTAACACATAGGCTTCCAATACCATCCATAGTAGAGGTTTTTTGGCTGTCGCCTGATGAAGCTAGTTGTAATTACTGGCGAAACGTCTTACTCAGATTGTAAATGTTGTGGCTTGGCTCTCCAACACACCGGCGTGCTGTACTAGTGACGAATTGGCCACGTTCTGTTTACGTGACAACCCTTACTGGTTGGCTGTGTCGGGTGGTGGTGAGTTTAACGACACATTTATATATTTACACGATCTAACCCAGAAAACCTCTACTATGGCTTAATCAAGCGGTATTCATACGTCATTGGCAAGACAGCTTACACCTTTACCAACCCGCCTTGACCAGCATGGTGAAGTATGGTCCACAAATCTCTCACGGTCCGGCCACGCAAGGCGTAGGGGAGGCTGTACGTGCCAGGTGAAAAAGGGGCAGCCCCTGCAATTTCTCGCTCGTGCCACGGATGCTGGAAGTCGGCCTCCACTGGCCAGGCGTTTTGGGTAAGATTTTTGAAGTACCCACACTTTACCCTACCGAACTACAAACTTTTTAAAATTTTACCAAGTGAAGGCCCACTCAGCTATACAGCTGTTTTTCATAAGCGACCTGGCCACAAATGATAGCTCAACGAAGTGGCTTATCACGTGGACATGTATACCAGCCAAATACTCTAAACGCGTGATGTTGATTCTAAATGTGGAGGGGGGAAAACCGGAGGACCCCGAGAAAAATCCACTCGACCCACCTGGACGGTGACACACGAACTCCAAATATACGGCAGCAGGCGTCAGGGTCGGGATCGAACCCACGACCTCGTGTACACCGGGCGAGGTAGTTAACGGCTTCGGTGGTGGACGGACGCGGGTGGGATTGGTGGCAGGGGTGGAGCCAGAAAGAAAACTGTCATCGTTGTTTCAACTGCCGCGCCGAGACATAGAATCAACGAACCGAGAACCTCCTTTGAATTGTGAAAAAAAAAATGTTTTAACTCAACACGGTCTTCAATAACAATGTGGCATGACAAAACACAAAAACAAATAATACACAACATGCGACGTTTCGGGCAATGGCCCGTCTTGTGAATGGTAAGTCCAGCGTGCTAACCATGACAACCACAGCAGCATCCGATCGAATGGTTACAAGTACCACGTGCCCGGATAAAACCCACCCAGGCAAACGAGTGGACCACACACACACACACACCACTCAAAGCTCTGCAAAGCAAAAATCCCCCGCATCGCCTTCACAGACTGTTGGGGCAAGTGTTGTTCACGAGCGCCTATGAAGGCCGGCACGGCACACGAGGGAGTGGGTGACCAGCAACCACGCCCGGCCGCCTTTGTCTCCCCAGTGCACGATGTGTACACACCGCACCAGGTACTCATTTGAGACTGAGTCGACTTAGGGTAGGCGGCCCAGGACCCGTTCCGATATTCGTCACTGGTGTTAGCCTTGAACGTGAATCGATACATACACACGGACATGCATACACACAGAGAGATACACACACACACATCGTAGAAATACCACACTCACCATTAATTCACCCTTTGGACCCAAAATCCACCTGGGGCCACACACACACGCACACGCCCGCACGCGGAACGCGCCCTTGCCTGCCTCCAGCCACGAGAAACCATGGGGGCCATCGGCGAGGGCACCCTAGAAGCGTTCTACCCAGCCGTGGCCGTGCTCTACTTCGCCCTGGTGGCCTGGGGGACACGGCAAAACAAGCTGAGGCTCGACGGCAGGGCCTCTGCCATCGTGGCCACAGTGTTCCTGGTGGGGCAGGTCGTCTGCCGGGCACTCGGAGGGGTGACCGGATTCATGGCCTTCGCGATAACCGCCTACCTGTC